ATCCAAACCACTACAATTTTGGGATGCATCTATAGCATGACATTTATTAGGAATAAGGACTTCTGAGTTCTGGTGCATTTCTGTGTGAGGGGGTCATTATGTTACCGCTATGCGGTATCTAGTTTTTTATTTTATTTTAGTAAAGGGTCAGAATCAGAAAATCCAACCGGTTCTGAACTGTATTGTTTGAAGAACCAGCTTTGGCACCAGTCCCATTTTATCACTGAAGCCTTTTTAGTGGAAAATCCCTGTTTGTGTTTATTCCCTGTGAGAATTGATTTTATTATTTTCTAGATCGGTCACTATCACGGAGTGATGACGTCTATGCTCGGCCTGGGACAGCTTTCTACAGTCATCACGCAGGTTAATGGAGTACTGGCCAATAAGTGAGTCAGACTGTTTATATACTAAAAATTAGTTCTGGGTGATGTGGCTTAAACATGTGTCACGATATACGAGTTTCATATCGGTTGATATCAGTAATTATTGATTACTGGTAGTTTTGTGTTTACCTATTTGAAATAAGGACTTGGGCTGCACGGAAAAACAAATATTGCATTTTTTTCTAACCCTGTGATGTACATTGAGATATGAACAAATGCAGATCAACAATCTGCCTTCATCCCTCAGAATGCCGTGCGGTTCTGGATCAAAGTTCAGTGAAATTATTAACTATTAAACAAATCATCTAYATATATTGCTCATGTATCTGTCGTAATATGTATTATTATTGAATTATTGCCTAATCCTGCTAAAAATATTTAAAGCTTTTGATTTACTCGTCAGCGGTGCTTATTACTTGAGTTAAAGCCTGTTAATTTACTGGTGTTTAGGCAACAGTGGAAGTCTGAGCTGAACACCTACAGAGTGGAGGCAGCCTGGAAGCTTGGCAAATGGGACCTGCTGGAAGATTATTTGAGCTCAGGTAAATAAAAAAATGTAACGTTTGGAAATGAGTCTCAAATTGAACCATGTCTAACTGTAACAATCACCCGACCTGCAGACCGGCAGTCCAACACGTGGGGCGTGCGGCTCGGCCAGCTGCTGCTGTCGGCCAAGAAGCAGGAGTCCAGGAGCTTCTACGAGAAGCTGAAGCTGGTGAGGAAGGAGCAGGTCGTCCCTCTGTCTGCTGCCAGTTATGAGTGTGGAACCTACCAGAGGGGATACGAGTACCTCGTCAGGTCTGCGCTCACACTTTCACCATCAGCGGTCCGTAGTTGTGTTGCAGTCGTAACTGGCAGTTGTGTTTAGGCTGCACATGCTCGGTGAGTTGGAGCACACGTTCACCGAGCTGCAGAAAAGCAAGGAGGGCTCTGCCACGAGCCTCTGCAAGCTGCCGCCTCATTGGTCAGACCGMCTGGAGATGACCCAGAACTCCTTCAGGGCCAAGGAGCCCATCCTGGCTCTGCGCCGGGCCCTGCTCAGCCTCGGACCACAGTAAGAGCACAGAAACACTTCTAGTGACTGGAAACAAGTTCAGGCTTTCACCTCTTTTTCTGTTTATAACCACATCTATTCATATTTACAGATGACAGAAATGTGAACGAGTTGAAGGAAAGCTCACTGTGTTACTGAAATGATTAGTCCATAACTCTCTTTATACGTGTTTATGCATATTCATCTGTTCTCTTAAGTCATGTCTGTTTTCAAATAAAAGGTTTTTGTAGTACTTTAAAAAAAGAGTAACTAGAAAATATAAAATGTAATTATTTATATTTGTTATATAATATTTAGTGACAGATTGAAAGTGTCTAAAAATCATTTATAAGATTATGCAGCTTAGTAACTCCCCCCAAAATTACAAATCTGTTACAAATGCTGGACTGAAATAATGAAAACAAGTGAGGCCATCATTAAACTTTGAAAACTTGGAGAATGACTTGAATGTTTTAATCAGTTCTGTGTTTCTTAGTTTCATCAAAGCATCAGATTTCTCTCCCTTTAGGTCATATACACAGGTWTAATACAGGGTTCTAAAACATAACCAGGTGCCTAAATCTTATTTTAAATTATATTTTTAACTATTTTGTTGACTCTTGTTTATGGCAAAGATCCCCACTAATGAGATTAATCACAATTTTCAGTTTCATCAGATGTTAAAGATATGAGACAGTTTTACTTAGTTTATTAAGACAGATTTAAAGGGATCCCTGATTAGTTGTAACATTAGACTTTATTTAATAAACATATATTTTAACTATAAAATAAAGACTGTAAAAATACTGTAGGCTGTTTAGTTAAGTAAAT